TGGGGTATAACATAGCTTAGATATTAAGAATGCAGATTAAGGAATCATGTAGAAATTTTGTAGCTGTGTGACCTTAGGCAAGGCACTTAACCTCTTAGAACACTAATTTCTTCATAAATAAAATAGTGATACTAATACTTACCCCATGAGATTATATTAAAATAAAAATAAAATGGTTGAGGTGAAATGCTTGGCACAAAGTTAATGCTCAATAAGCCACTATTATTATTTTAGTTATTAAAGAAAGATTTTTGTATTAGTCTAGACTCCCACAGTACTGTTATAGAAATGGAACTCATACAACGTAGAGCAAAAATGGAGAATCTAGGCAAAGAAAGGTAGAACTGGATCTGGCCTCATAGATTCCAGCATCTGAATGCTGTTAGAACACACATTCTATCTCTCTAGTGCTTATTTTACCTTCTGTTTTCATAGCACCTTCATTCTCTCAGGCCCATTGCCCCTTAAGGCTAAATGATGACCATGGGCAGTTCAATACTTATATCTTTATGGCACACACCAGGTGCATGTGCGTGTGTGCCCAAGAGCCCGAGAGGAGAATGGAGGAGAAGGGATTGCAGCGTGTCCATCCCCCCTTGGGGGGGGGGTGGTTCTTGCTTTCTATCTCTCTGTCTGTCTCTCTCTTTCTGGCGAGCACACGTGCCCTATAGCAAAAACCACTTAAAAGAAAAAAAAAGTAAAGAAAGAGGAATATAATTCATGGTTTTATAACAATGTGCTTTTGACACATTGTTAAACTGAAGTTTAACTCCTGAAAACTTCAGTTTTCTAGTCTGTAAAATGAGGACTTTGATTTGAAAGTCAGTTATACTCTGCACAGATGACAGTCCGTAAGTGGTTGTTCAGGTTCTTTTTTTCTTTCTTTTCTTTTTTTTTTTTTTTTTTTTTTTTTGAGAGAGAGATTTTTGCTATAGGGCATGTGCACTCACCAGAGAGACAGAGAAAGAAAGTGAGAAATCACTCCCCAGAGGGATGACCACACTACAGTCCCTTCTCTTTCACTCCCCTCTCGGTATTTTGGGCATGCACACATGCACACCCAGCATGAGTCTGCAACTGAAACCATGGTTGACTATGTGGGTGTCCAGCGATGTACTCATTACGCCATCTGCTGGTCTTTCAGGATTTTTTAAATAGCTTTATATTGAAAAAAATTGTTGAAGAGACCTTACCATGATCATGCCTTACATTTTTAGACACAGCAGAGAGGATGACTGGTCACATACTTGACTATTCTAAGAAGCATTGCAAAAGATGCATCTTATTATGTGGTTGTATTTTTGATATTCACTGGCCTTTAGTTTTTAGCAAACCTGTTTTCTGGTTACAAAAAGGAGTGGTGGAGCTGCTGGCATTCACTTGAAACCAGCCTGCTACTTTATGGGTCCAGAGGCCTTGTTTAGGAAAGCAGTCTGACTCACTTCAACATAACATGGTGCAACACTTCAGAGAAGAAAGCAAAGGAACAGAAAGGTAAATATTGACGACATCACTAACTCTTATTTCAAAGAATGCCTCAGGGGATTTTGAGGTCACTTTATAGTTCCTATTCAGCCAAAGTAAATTGCTTACAGGTTGATAAAAGTTAGTGGGCAGATTAAGTATAAAAGCCAACTAGTGTGTGGCCAAGGACACAGAGTGGCACTCTGACTGTCACAGGCAATATCTAGTTCTGGACCACGTACTATGGATTAACTGAATATTCTCTTCCAGCAAGGAGCCTCACCTCAAAACATTAATATTAAGATAGTATGTATTCAAATAAAACCATGTAGTATACATCTTCTCCAATTTAGAAATGGGAAAAATATCGCACTAAGCTTTTTTTAATTATTAAAACTCTATGGCTAAAAGCCCATATTTTTCCAGAAAGGAAAATTGCTTTTAATAGAAAATAGGAGCATTTCGCATGGAGGAACAGTCTACCTCTGGTCTCTTCAAGTAAGAGATGAAACAGTACATAACTTCTTGTTATCACACTAACATAACTAAACTATGGATTTTAAATTGTTCAAAAATATTGATAGGTTAACGTCACTAAAATGTAGGGAGCAAATTGAGGAGAGAAGGAATGTATTTTCTTAATATTTTTTAACATCTGGTCTTAGAACCATTTTATTTCAATTTCTACTAATATAGCCATGTAAATGCATGATTTATACAGTTTACGTACCCCATGGCAATATGCTCTTTTGTTTCTCTCTTTCATTTCCTTTCTACCCCTCCCTAATTTTTTTCTTGATAGAATCAGGATAAGATTTCTCTACTTCTCAACTGTTGAATCTCTTTATGAAAATTTGAACTAAACAATTTAGCACAATTAAGCAGAATGCCTCATTCATCAAACCTTCATTTCTCCAAGACTCCCACTTTGTCAGTCACCAGAAAGCAAGTGTTAAGTGGAAGCTATGTTTCCCGTCTTCTGGCAAACGACATCTGTTGACGATTACGGAGGCACATACAACGCCATTCATATTATGGCATGTGTCTCTCTGTGCCTCGGTTCACAGGCCCTCAGGGACGTTTACAAAGTGTGTGCATTTTAACTGTCCTGGAACTAAAGAGTTTAATTTTGCCTGAGAATGTGTTTATGTGCCTTGTAAAGAAGCTAGTCATTCGCTTTTTCTTTCCCTTATTATGTCCTGTGTGTGTGTGTGTGTGTGTGTGTGTGTGTGTGTGTGTACATTCACTGAAAAGGAACCATGCCTGGTAATGAGCATAAACACTTTCGTCTACCCACCCATAAATCTTTCTTTCAATTTCTAGGGGTTTTTTTATTTATTATTTTGTTGATAGCACATTTTTTGGCTTCTCTTTAACTTTTTCTGTTGTTTTTTTAAAAATATTTTTTAGTTCTAATTTCATAATCTTCAGTCAAAATTGGGTCAAATTTCTTAATAATGATATATGTAATTACAAGTCACTGGAACTTAAGGTATATGCAGCAATACGTCACTGGGACTCTGTCTGCAGCTATGCTCTTTCATCTGACTCTCTTCCTGATGGGTAAGCAGATAGCATTTCTCCTTCCATGTGATATGTTATTAATAAGGTCCTACCTAGTACCGAGAAAAGTGGACCTGAATCTACAAGTTGTCTATCCAGGTATTTCATATCTTTAATTTTAATACCTGGGATATTTAACAACACCCAGAATATTGATGTTTTGTCCCAGTTTTCATCAAAATATTGGGTCATAAAAAAAAAGTCATGAGACATTTTTGAATAGAAAAATACATCATTTTTCAGACAATTCAATATTTATTATTGGTTTTTTTAAATGAGGTACTGGCCCAACCACAGTTGCAGAAGCACCACTGCTTGGGAGACTGGAACCTGTGTGGGAAGGCCTGGGTTCGGTTCACCTGAGCAGATTGACTGACAAGGTTTCAAGTGCCTGTAATCTTAACTAATTGAGAAACTTGGGCAGGAGGATTGCAGTCTAACAAGATCCTGTCAAAAATGTCTATTTTTCTCTTTCTCCTCTTCCCTCTCTTTCTCGATTGCTCTTTCTCATAAAGGCAAAAAAGATAAAAAGAGATAAAATGCTTTTGGAAATTATGAGCATCTCTTATTAATATTATAAACGATTAAATGAATGCTAGAAGAGTTACCTGAAGGAGTTATTTCCTGGCTGAAAGAAGAAATAGGAGGGAAAAATAGCTGAGACTGAGACTGAGTTCAGTAGTGGTTTCATCCATGGTAGTTAATGGTGTTTCTTAATCTTTAATTATCAAATATGTTGTAATGCTTAATTATGCTTAATATCCAAATTAATTACCACCATATTGGAGAGAGAAGAAGTGACCTCCAAATTCTTTAGTGTTTATTGAAGAGGAGCTTCGTAAGGGGCTTTGAGAATTCTACAGAAAGAGGAAGCTATTAAATTCTGGGCCACCACATCCCTCAGATGGGAAAAACAGGATGCCTGAGTGTGTCTCTTCTCCAGCATTAAATTTTGCATCAGTTTGCTATTAAACTCAAGAATATGTGAAGGAAGCAATTTTAATTGCTTGGCTCTTAAGAAGCCTGTTCTACTGTTCAGTGGGTTAGAACTATTTTGAAATTTCGATTGCATTAAGAGCCACGCAAATTTACCTGTAATAAAATTTTTGCTGTATGCCTAAATTATGCGCCTTCTAGAAATGATTATTTAAATGAACTATAGAGCGCTTAGAGGAGAAAGGAATGCTAATATTTATTGAAGATCTATAAGGTCTTCAGACTGACCCCTATGAGGTGCCAAAAGCATCATGTTCATTATTTTCTCTGCTACTCTTAATATTCATGAGTCGGTATTGTTAATTCTGTTTTACAAGTGAGTAAACTGAAGCTAAGTTGGGCTAAGAACAGTTATCTACGTGTTGTGAGGTGTAGGGCAGGTCTGAAACCTACTCTGTCGACTGCAAGGCCTATTTTCCTTTGCTGTCTTTACATTCTTGGATTATGGTGAAAATAGCTCCTACAGGCTTTGCAACCAGTGCAGCCTCATCATACAAGACACACTTCCAGCCTCCCACACAGAAATCCACTTTGTGGCTGACTTATCTGGATTTGTGTCTAAATTATTCCATATATCAAATAGTACTAGATCCTCTCTCCAGTTTCTGCTTTGTAACCAGCTTGAAATTTCGCAAAACTTACATTGTCCCAGAGGAACACAGAGAGTGTTGTCTTATGTTAATCAAGTAAGCACCACCGTGCTATCTCATAATAATTAAATGTATGGTACCTAAATCAAGAATCATTCAGATCAGCTTTAGAAGTGTACTTTATCTCTGGATGAGAAAAGTGCATTTTGCGAATTTCCTACACAAAAGGAGAGAAAGTTACCTCCAGGATAGGTCAGAGCCCTTTCTATTGATCCCCAAACTAAGAAGAATCTAGGTCCTATGAAAGTTTTTAATAAACCTCATTATTTGGCAATTAGTCAGATGTCTAAAGTATGGCATTTCTTCCTTATTTAGCTTTCCACTTACGTTTTAAGTTTCCTTTGATGTTGTTTGTCCCTCCCCAAGGTGGTGGTAAGTGACCAGGATGGCTAATAGGCTTGCTTCCTCAGGAGCCTGCTAACAACTGCCTCATAAATATTCAACAGGAGCATTCTGTGTGAAGGGCTGGGGAATTAGGTGGCCTGCCAAGTCTTGCCACATCTCATATCTATGATAATGGCTGCAGATTGCATGGGACAGAAGGAATGGCTTTGCACTGTGAAAATCCAAAGGGGAATCAAGGCAGCCTGTGTCTCCTGACTCACTCAGGCAACTGCCTAGTGAGTATACCCTGCCCAGGGACCACCACTGAGGAACCGGCTTTCCGCCTGCCCAAGGAGCAGTCACTCCAGAGAGTGACGGGCTCATTTCTTTATTTTAATTCTTTGTCATAATGGTAATTAGCATTACATCTTGAATAGTGAATTAAGAAATCTAAAACAGAGTTTTAAATTTACAAAGGTTTTCCACCAGGAATCCAGTTGTGTTAAATTTTGAGGACGGAAGGTAGGCTAAATTAGCCAAGTTTGTGCATTCATTACCTTGCTCTAATCCTCAACATTACAAATGCAAAAGGCTGTCATTAAACGTGAGAACTGACAAGAACTGGGATTTCTCAATATGAGTGTTGAAAGATTAATTTGAAAAGATCTCACTAAAAACCACAAAATGTTATTGCTAACATGGGATATTTTATATTCAGAATCTGTACCTGGTTAAGAAAATGTCTGTTTACAGTATCTGGTTTATAAAAAAGTTATACATTTATCAACTTGAGATATTCCTGGTTATTTTGTTCATACAGTTTTCAAGCACAGTTTAAAAGATAATATTGAAAATATATTTGTGTTATCAAAGGACATGTGACTTTCAGTTATTAAACATTTTACATCAGAAGTTAAAAGCAAAGAGAAACAAAAGAGAAAAATGGCTATTTTTTCACCCTTTTTTCTTCGTATTATAATTTCTAAAGAAAAAGAACTTTTTTGACAACATTTTACACTTGTGTTTGTCCTAAAAATATTAGTGATAAAGAAGAAATGGTAGTCATCAAAGCTATGCTAATAAATTTCGTGTAAGTACATTAATTTTACACAACTAATTACTAAACTGGTACTGGGGTAAAAATATAAAGATTCCATCTTCGATTAATGGAATTATATAAATATCTTGATTCATACATCTGTAGCACATTTTAAACATCTGTGTTCAAGATGACCACTTGGGGAAGGTTCATTGGCTTCACTTAATGCAAGTACACGTTGTTTGTTCCTATATACTACGTTCAAGTCCTAAATGAGGCTTTTCTAAAAAGAAATTTTACACAGGTTGCTTCCCTAGACTGCATAACCTAGACTGACTTTTTAAAAGCCAGTATATGCGATTTCACTGTGAGTTTTCAAGCATTGTGCAATTGTTGAAGAATGAAACTTATCGGTTTCAAAAGTGAAAATGAGAATAATTGAGATTTACCTACTAGAGTGGCTGACCACTAATGGTTCTTGTAGAAGCCCTGTCACCACAGGACCTTCCACCCCCTTGTTTCCTTTATTAGTTTATGGGAGATTTTTGCATTCAAAAAGTATAGCCTGGCTTTTAAAAATGCTGCTTTAGGATAACAGGCTGGTTTGTAGCATTATTTTTTTTTTATCAAGCCTGATTAATTTTAGCCATAGGTACCTTATAAGAACAGCTCAATTAAAACTACTACATACAGAGGAAAAAATAAGCTTACCACCTGTGGCTCAGCTGTAAAATAGAAAGCCAAACCATGCTCAAAATAATTTTTGTAGGTGACCTTCTATTTATAACAAAATTGTAATATTACCATATCTCCTAAGTGCTTAGACAGCCATTGCAAATGAGAAAATTGCATTGCTTCTGTCTAACTTTACTCTTGTGTTCACATCTTTCCTAAAAGCACAGCCTTAGAAGCAATTCTAATGATCCAGGATATTGTCTGTAGTCTCTCCCCTTCGATCAAGATCAAACCTTGATTCTGGCTGCAGATTCTGCTAACATCAGAATAATCTCTAGTTTGGGAACCAGCAGTTAGCATAATGGCTTTGTCGCTGGACTCCCTCATAGTCGACCACGGTTCGCGTCCCGGCCCTGGTGGCTTAAAACTCACACCGGGCGCGTGTGCGTGTGTGCCCAAGATCCCGAGAGGAGAATGGAGGAGAAGAGATTGTGGTGTGACCATCCCCCCTGGGGGGTGATTTCTCGCTTTCTGTCTCTATGTCTCTCTCTGTCTGTCTGGCGAGCACACGCGCCCTATAGTGAAAACCTCTAAAAAAAAAAAAAAAAAAAAAGAATAATCTCTAGTTCCTTTTCATCTGCTAATAATACCAGTCCCCTCCACCCTCAGTCCCTATCCCACCATAGGCTTAAGAGCAGCAGTTTGGTTTCAAATGATCAGAAAAAAAACTGCATCCTCTTGTGCTGGAAATCTGCTTGTTTTATAGTCAATAAAAACTAAGAGGGGCCCTTCTGAAAGTTTTGCTAGGTGACTCATAATTTAAACATTTGCCACCAATACTACCCCTCATATGTTTTGAACTGAAGGCAGGGTGGAATGTTATGATCCTCTCTTTAATGTCAACTGGTCTTTGGAAAGACCCCTGGATCAGCAGTATTCAAGCAATGTTGTTAAGAATCTCCCATGAGGGGGTCAACAAGTGACATAATAGTTAAGGTTCTGGACTCCCAGGTGGTCAACCGCAGTTCAAGTCCCAGACCAGGGAGCTTAAAACTCATGCTGGATGCATGTGCATGCGTGTATGCCCAAAATCCCAAGAAGAGAATAGGGAAAAAGGAATTGTGACATAGACATCCCTGCTGGGGAGTGATTTTTTTGCTTTCTGTCTTTCTGTCTCTCTATCTCTCCAGTGAGTTCATGCACCCTGTAGCAAAAATCTCTCAAAAAAAAAAAAAAAAAAAGAAAAAAAAAAAAAAA